ACTGACTTGTTATCAGTCTTAGGTAATGGTTGTGCCTGGCTGAACTTTGTGACGGTCCTGGAACCTTGAGGTCTGGGGAATCTTCCAAAGTCCTTGAGGACTGATGTCTGGGAAATATTCTCAACTGTGTGAGGACCACCAAGGGAAGATGTTTAAATGTAGCTGCTCATGACTAAGGACAGGACAGCTTTGTGATTTTTCAACAGTTGGGTTAGTGATCCTTCAGAAGAAATGAAGGAAGGAAGGAGGGGCAGAGGGAGAGAGGGAGGGATGGAGGTAGGGAAGGAAGAAAAACAAAGAAAGAAAGAAAGCAGGAGACAGAGAGAGAGAGAGAGAGAGAGAGAGAGAGAGAGAGAGAGAGAGAGAGAGAGAGAGAGAGAGAGAGAGAGAGAGAGAGAGAGAATCAACTAAATTCTGAGTCTGGGATGTGTTCCACACACACCTCTATAAGTGCATCCTGCCAAGCTGCTTTAGTGTTGCTCATACACGCCAATTGAGGGAAGATCACTGGATGGATAAGCAATCAGGGAGCTGCTCCCAGATGACTGATTCTTCCTCTTTTAGCAACTCCTGTTTTATTTTATAATTACATTTAAATTAGAAACATGATTGCTTCACATGTCAATCCCATCTCCCTCTCCCTTTCTACCCCTCCTCCCATGCCCTCCCACCAACCTCCTAAGCCCTCCCCCAATTCCCTCTCCTTTCCCCAAGGAGGATGTGGCTCTCCATGATGGGTGTCTGTCATTTCATCCAGGGCAAGGCCTAGACCCTCCCCCAAGATTCCAGGCTTACAGTGCATTTTTCATTGTGGGATGGACATCCAAAGTCCATTTGGAAGACAGGGATTAATACTGATCTACTACCCAAGGCCCCATTGATTTCCCAGGCCTCCTCACTAACACCCACATGCAGGGTGTCTTGATCAGTCACATCCTGGATTCCCAGCCATCAGTCTGGGGTTCCAGAGATCCCTGTTGTTTAAGTCACCTGTTTCTGTGGTTAAACAAGCCCAGTCTTGACCCCTATGCTCATCAGTCCTCCCTCTGTGTCTCTGGGTTCCTTGAGTTCAGATCAGTGTTTAGTTGTGGCTGTCTGCCTCTGTTTCCATCAGTCATTGGTTGAAGGTTCTGTATCCCAGACTCTCTGGCAATGGGATTGTATGGTGGCACTTCCCTGGGTCCATGTCTAAATCCATATATGAGTGAGTACATAAAACGTTTCTCTTTTTTTGTCTCGGTTACCTCACTCAGGATGGTTTCTTCTAGTTGCATCCATTTGCCTGCAAATTTCAAGATTCCATTGATTTTTTTTCTACTGAATGGTTCTCTATTGTGTAAATGTACCACATTTTCTCTATCTACTCTTCAGTTGTGTGGCATCAAGGTTACTTCCAGGCTCTGGCTATTACAAATAATGTTGCTATGAACATAGTGGAACAGATGTCCTTGTTGTATGAATGTGCATCTTTTGGGTATATGCCTAAGAGTGCAATTGCTGGGTTTTGTAGTAGACTGATTCCCATTTATCTGAGGGATCTCCATACTGATTTCCAAAGTGGCTGTAGGAGTCGGCACTCTCACCAGCAGTGGAGGAGTGTTCCCCTTTCTCTACATCCTCTCCAGCATAAACTGTTGTTGTTTTTTATTTCAGCCATTCTGAAAGGAGTGAGATGGTATCTCTGATTTGTTTTGATTTGCATTTATCTGATGGCTAGGGATATTGAGCACTTTCTCAAGTGCCTCTCAGGCATTTTATATTCTTCTATTGAGATTCTTTATTTAGTTCTGCAGCCCACTATTTAATTGGATCCTTTGGTGTGTCGGAGACTTGATTCTTGAGTTGTTTGTAAATGTTGGAGATCAGTCCTCTGTCAGATATGGGTTGTATATATGGGATCTACAGTGTGCAGTCTTGAGGTCTCTGGTGGTTCTGTTCCAGGCAAGGAAGGGAGGCTGGAAACAGTCCCATGCATACCTAGCCTGTCTGATGGGTGGAGACTGGGACTTGGAAGCTGGCAGTCTCTGAGCCACATGGCTCCTGTTGGGATAGGTGCTGCAGTGCACAGTACCCTGGCCTTGGGTATTTGTGCTGGGTTGTTTACTTCAAATTGTTTTATTTTTGGTGGTTTGGATGATTTCAAAATTGTTTTATTTCTCTTATTTTGTTATGATTCATTGTGGTGATATACTCTTTAAGGTTTATTAAAGCTTGACTGAGGATATAGAAAGCAAAGCCAGCCTCAAGCTATATAGTTCAGACAATGGTGATACAGACATAGTATATACCTTTAATCCCAGGACTCATGATAAAGAGGTAGACTAATCTTGCTTAGATCAAGGACACAGACTACTGCTAAAAGCAACATCTCTCACAAAAGTGATCTCAGCACTTGGGATCACTGGCTTTAATCCCAGCACTAAGGAGGTAGAGCCAGGAGGATATGTCTGGACAGAGAAAGGAATTTACAGAGAGCATACAGGAACTGAGAACTTTTTCCTTTGGGGGTTTGTGGAAACTTGATTGCCCGGTCATCTGTGTAGAGGTAATATCTACTGGAAAAGCTGCTTTGCTTCTCTGATCTTCAGCTTGAAGCTTGAAGCTTGAACCCCAATATCTGTCTCTTGGTCTTTTATTTTTTGAGCTACAAACTAGCACCCAATGTAAAGGAATTAATTAATTAAAAAGCCAATTGCCTGTGTGTTTGAAGCCACTTGGCCAGGCCCTATGCTGAGCTGCAGGTGGGACGACCACCTGAGTCCCTGCCTTCACAGCTAAGTTTTCTTTTGGTTTTCTTTTTCCCCAAGACTTTGAGGGACTATTGAAATTTTGAGATGTAGTTTTGCTATACTGTGTTCTGTTGCCACCAAAACTCAGGAAGTGTTCTAGTTTTTCACAGAGCCTCTCTTGTCAGACTGACACTCTCAGTTCAAGCACACAAGGTAGATCTGAGATTCTGAGGTGCTTTGCCTCACAGTTCAGTGACATTGTCAGCAGGTTTGATAAATTAATATGAAATTATTAAAAGAAGAGATTAGTTAAAAAGAGAAGCGCTCTTCCCAAACTAAAGAATGTAAAACAGTATTAAAATGGAGAGAATTAGGTCTTGGTATGAGTAATCAATGGATGGTTTAAAAATAGAACTAATAAATGAAGGGATAAGCAACTTAACCAGGATCGATATACTCTTATTTTCTTTTTGTTCAATTCCATACTCTTTATTTATGAATTTTATTTAAATTACAAGGAATCTTATTTTACATATCAATCCCAGTTCCCTTTCCCTTCCATCCTCCTATTTTCCTGCCCCTCCTTCACCATCCCATCCCTCATCTACTCCCCAAGGAGGATGAGACCTTCCATGAGGGATCATCAAATCCAACAAGTCATTTGGGGCAGGACCTAGGCCCTCCTATGTGTATCCAGGCTAATAGAATATCCCTTCATGTCTCCCGAAGTCCTTTTGTTCACTAGGGATACATCCTGGGTCCACGTCCAGAGACCCCATAGACTGTTCAGTGCTCCTAGCTGACACTCACATTCAGGGGGCCTGGTTTGGTGCTATGTTGGTTCCCCTTTAAACTGCTGCCAGCTGCCAGCTGCCAGACTGAGGTCCATGAGTTCATACTTGCCAAGGTCAGCTGTTTCTGTGAGTTTTACCACCAAGGTCTTGACCCCTTCTCTTACCAATCCTCCCTCTCTGAAACTGGATTCCATGAGTTTGGCTCAGTTCTTACCTGTGGATCTCTGCTTCTGCTTCCATCAGCTACCTGATGAAGGCTCTAGGATGCGATTTAACATAGTCATCATTCTCATTATAGCAGAAGGGCATTTAGGTATCGTCTCCAGTATTTCTTAGATTCCTAGTTGGCATCATCCTTGTGGATCTGTGCACATTTCCCTAGTGCCAGATTTCTCTTTAAACCTATAGTGGCTCCCTCTATTGATGTGTCGCTTCTCTTGTTCTCCTCTATTCCTTTCCTGTGTCAAACTACCTGATCTCTAATGTTCTCCTTCCCCCATCATCTTCTTCCCTCTTCTTTCTCCTAACTCCCTTCCCTGCCCCCAGGCTGCCAATTTGTTCAGAAGCTCTTGTCCCTTTCTGCTTGACTAGTGAAACCCAGATACAGCTGACCTGAAAAAGGGGGAAGTCTTGAATCCCAGACTGATGGCTGAGAGGTCAGCACGGGCCTGATCCAGACCATCTGAATGTGGTTGTCATTGAGGAGTCTCAGGCAATCTGTGGGGTTTCTGGGTAGTAGATAACTATTTATCCCTGGCACACAAATGGACTTTAGGGACCCATCCCACAATGAGGGATGCTTTCTCAATCTGGACACTCTAGATCCCCCTCGGAGGGCCTTACTCTCCCTGGGGAATGGAGTGGGGATTGGGTGGGACCTGGGCATGGAGGGAGAGGGAGCTGTGACTGACAGGGGAAGCAAGCTCATTTCTGATTTTAATATATAATTAACAGGTGTAAAAAAGAATAAATACAGACAAGACAAAAACAAAAAAGAATAGTGGCCAAGAAGTACCTCAAATGGTGAGTATCCAGTTTCCCAGGGTCTGACAATTCAATCAAAAGCACCACTCAGGGTCAACCAACTCATTGATATGTACAACTAGAAGCTTCTTTCAGAAATACCAATTTCTGTTTGACTCATTAATCATAATCATTTGTTCCCTGGGTTCCACAGTTCTCCATGTAAATGAACTGTTATTTCATATCCATAACCCGCTCTCTCTCATTGCTTTCTATGTCTATTTGATGAGACAGCCCTCCTTTGGACTTCACATGCCAGTGCCCAGAAGTAACCCTGCTCCACCTGCCCACCAAAATAATTCTGGTCTCTAGTCATAACACACAAAACAGGCTCCAGCAGCAAAGCAGACAGATTTGATCTGCCTTATACTTCTGAGAATATCGATGTGCTCAGGACAAAATCCAGCAAATCTGTCTTCAAGGTCTTGACCCATGCCATCATAACATTCCGAAGGGCAGGGTACAGCTCCAAGTTCAGCTGGCTGAGATTTGCTGTGTGGTGGAAAAGGTTCCTAAGGACAGCCATGGAGATGTCATTGTCATAGAAGTAGCTCCAGTGAATATAAAGTCTGAGGAAAACAAAGATGATGATGACTCTACAGCAGACTTCCTCAACAGTGATGAGGAAGAGGACAGAGTGTACCTGCAGAATTTAAAGAATTTAGGTGAATCTGCAACTTTAAGAAGTTTACTCCTCAACCCACACCCGAGACAGCTGATGGTTAACCTCGACCAGGGTGACAACAAGGCAAAGCTGATGAAAGCCTGCATGCAGGAGCCTTTGTTTGTGGAGTTCGCAGACCGCTGTTTAAGAATCGTGGAACCATCCCGGAACAGGGATTCTTAAAATTTGGATGTGCTCTTTGCTTAAGCTGCCCACTGCTCCTCCAAGGAGGAGGTTGCTTCCAAGGCTGCTATAGAACATGTAGGTCTTTTTCCATCACTCGGCTTGCTTCAGACAAGTGGAGAACACTCAAGGTGAAGAGGGGAACCCTGGAGTGTTGGCTCAGCTCTTCCAGAGAGAGGACCAATCTTCAGCACTCATGACTGCCAACACTTGTAATTAAAGTTCCAGGGGATCTGACACCCTCTTCTGACCTCTGAAAGAATGTAGGCCCTACAAGGGCACAGATTCCACAATGAGTGACTGAACAGATGCACAGGTGCCATCCATTTGCCTTCCAGGTGGACTGCCTCAGACCTGCCATTCTCCTCATCTCTACCTCCCTCTGTCTGGCCCATGTTGTGAATGCCACCAGGCTTTGGTCCTACAGCAATGTGGCTTACTTACCGGATGGGAAAGCCAGCAGCACTGATGTGGATGGTCTCCACAAGGCCACAGGCCTCCAACTGGCTCAGGACCTACAAGGGTGGGGAGATAGAGCAAGCACCTGTAGGCCAAAAATGCCATTTCTTTTGCACATCTTTGGTCCTGACCTTCAGTAACAGGCAGGATTGGCTGATGGAGATGTCTTTGTGGGGCCATGAGAAACTAAAGGCCCGAAGATCTCCCTGCTACAAGAGGTTCTGGTAGACCCACAAATGCCCTGTCTGGTACCTGGCTCCTGACATAGCTAAGGTCTGCAATGGTCCTGGCTGTCTGTCACCTCTCCAGGGCTGACACCACTTCACAATACAGAAGAGTTTATTCTCTTCTGGCATCAGAGTTGCTCAAGCAAGCAAGGTTATACTGTGAAGATTTTTACTTGTCTACACAGCCACACTTACCAGGTGACTGTTGGATATTCCTCAGTGCTGCCCAGCACTCATACATCATCTATACCCCTTCAGAACCTGAAACCCTGAGGAATGATTCTATGTAAATTAGGAAATGATATTAACAGTCCAGAATAGCCACACTGCATGGACTGCACAGATGTTGAACAAATCACAGAACAGCCATTGCCCTGAGCAGATTCAATTGTTAGAGTTAAGCTAGATGAGCAGGGAGCAAGATGTTCTGGGACAATAAGCCCTCCTTGATGTCCAGCCTGAGAGACTGCCTGTGATCACTCCATCTGGAGATGGCTCTCCCTTTAGTTTTCTAGGCCTGGCCGGATGGGGTTTGATACTAGGCAGCTGTCAGTCAGGGTTAATTACCTCTTTCTGGAGGAAGGTCTGTGGCTTACTCTGGCTGTTAGGCTTGATACAGCGAATGTAGTGGGGTGTTGTGCTATGCAGGACCTGTAGGAGCTGCTCCAGTGAGGCCTACAGACAGAAAAATCCGGGGTAAGGCAGGATTGGGGCAGCTCAGGGTCATAAATGTGAGTACATTATGTCCTTGGTGACCCTTCCACATCAGGACCCACATATGCCCTGGGAACTACTGGGACCCTACCCCCCCAGACAGGGTTTCTCTGTGTAACAGTCCTGGCTGTCCTACGACTTGCATTGTGACCAGGCTGGCCTCAAACTCAGAGCGATCCGCTTGCCTCTGCCTCCAAGTTCTGGGATTAAAGGTGTGCGCCACCAAAAAAAAAAGTTAATCATAGTGAGCTGGTTGCACTGGCTAAAGGCAGGCATGAGGGCACTGAGCTGGGAGCTCTGCATCCTACATCCCTCCAATTCCAGGCTCTTCAGAATGGCTGCAACTCTCTCCAGAAGGACATGGAGGGGCCCAGTACTTAAATGGGACAATACCACACCGCTGAAGTCCAGGTGTGTGAGCTGATGTAGGTTTACACTCAGGTGTAAATGATCCAAGTCTTACCTGGAGAGCTGGGAATGAGTGATGGACAGTGTCTCTAAGGGGGTCTTCAGGTACCCAGGGAAAGAATAGAAATGAGTTCTGGCAAATGGAATTTGAAAGTGTCACTGATTGGTTGACACTGAGATGGACAGTTTAGCCTTGTTGAAGCTCAGTCTCATCCCAAGCTAGACATGCATATCAGGATGCTATCATTGTTGTCTCACTCAATTCACATGTTTTACACCAAGGTTACCAATATCACAGAGGGACTGCTTCAGGACATACACACCAACAGCCTTTACAAAAAGCAGAAAACCCCAGTACAGGCCACCTCAGTGTTACAGATCATGTATAAGCCAATCAAGACCTAGTTATACTCTTGGGGAGTCTTCAGAGCTTCTGGATGACTGAATCAGCATCACACTTGATTGCCATTCACCCTGTATCACCCAGACTCTGACACACAAGGCTAGTCCAAGGGTTTCTCTAGATACTCAGCCCCTACCAAGTCTGCCCCCACAGCCTTTTCCACCCATAGACAGAGGCAGGTGGCCAACCCTTCAGAGTCTACTGCCCTATGGGATCCATTGTGCTTGGCAGGTATTGAGGGTTCCCTGTCTGCAGAGCACAAGGGTTTCCCCTGCTCTGGACAATTCCCCAACTTACCTTAGCAATACTTTCAAGTTGTCTTTTAGAAAGTAGATTTCCTTCTTCATGTCTGGTAGAGCAAAGTCTCTATGGACGTCCTTCTAGAATATTCCCAGGAGAGAGAGCTTGCAAAGATTTCCCAGCTTTTCCTGATAATGTGCAAACTAGGACTGGTTTCCCTGTTGCCACCAGGAATTTGGTTCTAGCTCCTGGATATAATCTTTGTCTAAAATTTTCAGGATCTCTCTGACAGTGTAGACATGGGTTGCTGTGATATTCAGCTTTCTACAATACAGCTGCACTGAGCCTTTTCTCAGCCTGGCCCAATTTAACAGGCATTTTTCAGCTTCAGTGAGACGCAACCCACAGAGGTCAAAATGCACTAACAACTTCAAGTGCTGCTTCACTACGCACTTTTGATCGTGCTCCCTAGTTTCCTCTTGACTCAGGACCTGTGGGGTGTAGCTGACATCTGTGCCTCCAGTATGTCCATCCCAGGGGTTCTGGTGTACTTTACTCAAATCAAGCACTTGGAGTTTCCACCTCCTGTGGAAAACAGGTGGGAAACTTAAGACGTACGATCAGACACCACATAGTCAGCTTTTCTTCCACATTTCAACTCTCACTTCCTGTTCCCCACTGTCTTCCAGTCAGGTCTATTTGTAGAACTGGCTGTCCACCCATAGCCTCCTGTCCTGTGAAGAAAGATTCTTCGCCCCACTGGCATCTATAATTCTGTTTTACTGTCCTCTACTTTTTCCCTGCCTGATCCCATTTTGCCTGGAGGAGCAGGGAGTGGCTCACACTTCAGTTTCATTATCAGTTCTAAGCTGCCCTCCACACTTGACACTGTTCTGAAAGGTCTGAGGCCCGTGTGATTGTCCAAACCAGCACAGTGAGAAGCCCCAGATCCACATTGGACCACACTCTTCCCTCACTCTAATTGTTCCCTCACTGAACCTGTGGGACCTTTAGCAAGGTCATACCTACCTGGGGTGAATCTTTTGTGTAACCAGAAAATCTAGTGCCTCGAGCACAGCCTTCAAAGTCTCCATGTGTGAGGTATTCATCAGGGTCCCCATTGGGAGGCAGTGAAATGGCCAGGCGGCCACCATTGCCCTCACCACATTAGTCTGTCTCCCAGTCAAGGCCTCCTTGAGCAGAGGTGGGAAGAGCTCCTTGGGCAGGTTGTCTAGAGCAGAGATGGCTAAGGCCTCATCCCTCAGCAACTTCTGCACTACCTGCTGCAGGTGTGTGGGCTGGGTAGGACCACTCATTTTTGTAGATATTAGGGTACAGAATCCAGGGAAAGTTTTTTGAAATAACACAGTTTTTTTGTTGTTTTGGTTTTGCTTTTCAAGTTCCGGTTTCTCTTTGTAACAGTCCTACCTATCCTGGAACTAGCTCTGTAGACCAGGCAGGCCTTTAACTCACAGATATACCTCCCTCTGCTGGGATTAAAGGTGTGCACCACCACTATCCATCCCAAAGTAACTCATTTTCAGGCCAAGATTAGAAAGCACTTATTCTCTCCCATCAAAGGAATCACTCAATGGCATAGTGACACCTATGACAACACCTGATCCTCAGTTTACATCATGCCACTCACTCTTGGTATCAAACCATAACAACACAAGACCAACAAATCAGGCCATGAATGTACTGGCAGGCAGCATGGGGAGACTCACAATTACACATGTGATCACATATTTTCTCTCTCATATGATTATACCCCCTTCTCCTTTCAATCCCATTTCGACAGGGAAGGGGTGTACCATGGATCCTGTAAACTGAGCCACAGGCAGCATTTAAGATTCTGGGGAAAGGAACTGTCAGCTAACACTGCCCTAGCTGTAGTCAGTGTTTCAAAGGCAGGGTGTAAACCCCAAATCCCAGAAGCAATAAAGCCATGCAAACTCAATCAGAATGTATGGCAAAGGGTGGGCCTTACAGACTACTTGGTGACTTCTCAACTATCCTGCTCTACAGGAGGCCTTGACTCTGAAAAAGAATAGTCAAACAGATTGTAAACACCAAGATATCAAACATATCTCAAACTGGGTGGTGGTACACACTTTTAATGCCAGTACTCCAGAACCATAGGCATGTTATTCTATGTGAGTTCAAAGTTAACTGGATCTACAGAGCTAGTTCCAGGACAACCAAGGCTACACAGAGAAGCCCTGTCTTGGGAAAGGCAACAACAACAAAAAACACAAACATAAACTTGATCTGAAGTTTACCTGGTGGTCCATGCTGGTAACCCCATAACTAAGGTACTGAGAGAAAAGGATTTTGCTGGCCAGTGAAAGTGGAAGGCCAGCCTGGCAACAAGGCATGCCTGCAACATAACACACAAACTGAAAGACCCTGTCGTCTTTCTCTCAGGACCCTCTCCCCAAAGACCACTGGGATCCAAAATTTGCTGCAAAATACTAGAGGATTTGTGAAGGAGTGAACACGGAGCAGAAATTACAGCAAGTTTTCAAAGCCTAAAACCCCAAACGTCGTAGTGGGGTTAAAACGGGAGTATGGAAGTTGGTGCCAGACCTTCATGAATCATGTATGCTTGTGGCTGTCTGGCTGTCTGGTC